CGAGTTGAAATACCCGGACAGACGAACACACACACACACACACACACAAACATACACACACATACAGACACACACAGACAGGGTCGTCCCAATACGTGTTTTTGCAATTTGCATATAGGCAAAAACGCATAAAATGGAGAACAAGCCAGCTATCGCAGTTCTAAGCCACTGAAATTTTCGAAAAAATGAGCTAATAATGAGGGACGTTACCGGAAATTATATTGGAATTTTACAGTTTATGACTGTTTCGGGGAAAAGAAGAGGGAAACAAAGAGGTTTACAAGCACAAAATTTTTATTCTATGAGAATTTTTGAACTTTCCTGTAATTTAGCTGAGGGTGCATGCGGTGAGAGAATGAAATTAACCGATCCCACCGGCAGTTCAAGTGAGCTTGATGTCTTAACTAGTGCAGTTACAAGATTACGAAAAACGTAAAAAGATTAGCTTACATTGAATGACATTAGTTTTAGGTAATCGACGATTAATCATTTGGATGAGCTTCATTTCGATATGTGCGGATCCAACAAATATGTATTTCAGGGACTGTAGTGCATCCACCTTGAGCAACGGTGTCTCCGCAAGAAATTTCAGTACTGCTGGTACTAGCATTATTGCGGTCACCTAAATCCAGAAAATTCTTTTACAATAAAAATAACAGTAGTAAGAGTGACAATAATAATAGCAGCAACAATAAAAATAACAACAATAATAATCATATGAACAATTTTGAACCAAATTTCATATTTTCGTTAGATTACTGACAGCAAGTTGCAATCAGTTTAACAAACGTTAAGACGGAAAAAACACGCCGACTGCAACAACGGTGCCCAATAAATCCAGTAAAAAAAGCAAGGCAAAATATGTCTGACGTTACGCGGCAAAATGTCCCCTGGTATAATTATTTTAAGCAATTATCATGTACTTCGGCACGCTGAATAGTTTTGGCAGTAATTTAAAGCTTTTGTAATATATTCTGCGCACGGATAAAAAATGTTGTATCTAGCATAATTTTTAGTCGCATAATCTTCAATCAGCTCTAGCGCAAAAAATTGTTGGAAAAGGGGAACAAGTGTTTTTGTTTGGCTTGCCAGAGTTTCCTGAGTTCGCAACTTGCGGATTTATAAGTTTTTTCCTCTACCAAGCTTTCTTTAGCGAATAGCCGCAAAATAGCAATGCTTGTGAAAAACAGTAAAAAAAAGAAAAGTGATTACCTAATTTCTTTTGGAATCATTGCTCAAAAGCAAGCTTGCTTACAAATTTTGCAGACGATAAATCTTAAAAATAAAAAAAAAAAACGCATCAGGCAGTTCATGCCATCACGTGTTTTGCGCAGTTCTATTCAGCTGAGCTAGATCCTAACAGCTCTCTACCCGAATTTCGGCATATCCACATTTAAAGTTTAGACATACTTGAAAGCTAAATTTAAATTTCCAGACTCGAACAAGATAAGCATTTTTTTACCTTATTTGGTTCCCGAGCTGTAATATTTCCCCTCGAACTTTCATTTATCCATATTTGACAAAAAAAATCTCAATAAGCGCAAAACGCATGATATGGATGTAAATATTAAATCATACTAATTTTTTAAAAAGAAATTTGTTCTGTACGCTCTAGTTTACAATTCCCTCCTTCTGCCTCTTTTTCTTGACCATATACCTAAGTGAAATATTACACTGAATTTGTGCAGAATCTCGAGAAATAGTTGCCCGTCAAATTTACGGTTCACTACAATCTGGACTCCCAGACCGAGGAGGCCAAAAGTTGTAAGCAGGCCACCAGCATGAAAATATGGCAGGACACCACAAATCACATCATCATGGCCCAAACATACCATTCGATGTTGTGCACAGCCGTCACCCTGAACATTCCTGCAATGATTTAGACAAAATTCAAAATACACCAAAAAATATTTTAAAGTCAGCGGGATGAAAATTCGACATGCAGTGAAAGGTCATCATTTATTAGTTTGTGTAGTATCCTTTAGCAGAGAAAGTTCTGGTCGCGAATGGGAGCGGGAGTCATCGGTACAGCTGATCAGTATTTCTAAGAAAGGAGTTCAGTGGTGGTTTCGTCAACCAGGATCTTTCAAATTGTCGCGACAAAGCTGAAGCAGCTTGAGCCAATAAAATGTACTGATCATGGGTGGACATAGCTGTTCCGCACCTTTTTGAATTCATTAATTATCTTAACATATGTACATGCACTTACAACACATAGGCGAGTCGGATCTTCGTAGTTCATTCACATGCTACCTTATTTTCACGTCAAACATCAATATTGGATTTCACTTTGCTTCCATAATTTCATTAATTATTTCTCTGGGATGAATTACCGGATAACTCATCCAAACACCCGCTATCCCAACACCCTTTTCATATCGAATTTGTTTCTCTGCTTCTGTCAGTGATCACATTTCATATTCAAGCATCACTGTTTCCAAAAAAAAAAATTGATTATTTCTTAGAAATATTCGAAATTGTCTGGTTGCATGGAGCTTTATCTACGTACCGAACAACATCGATGTTAGCAATGAGCGCTTGGTTGCTCAGAACAACAGCTTTGGGTGGTCCAGTGGTGCCAGATGAAAAGAAAATCACTGCCTGAAAATGTGTTCATCACTGTGTATTCTAATTTCGAATAAATTTTGTTTGAAATTTCTCCGGCAAGAGATTAACACACGTTGTTCGATAAGCAGTTAGGAATAACTTGCAGGATCACCGTCACGAACAGATTTATCGGAGAAGCAGTACTGATGCTTAGAAAGCGCTTTTTTCGGCAAAAACGTCCTCAAATTAAAGTATTCGAATGATTCCTGCATTGCATCGAGAACTATTATTGCCTGAAACAAGAGATACAGGTTACTTATAGATGAAATATGAGTGGCTCAGGTGACTAGGCCCATTATAAGCATGGTTAAGAAAAGCGCAACGAAAGCTTTGGTACAACTTCGCGAATATCGTATTATCTTAGCATTATCTTCGAGAACGTCGCGCTACCAAAAAAAATAATTGGCCAACGCACGGGCTGCCCGTGCGAAGATGCGTTTTTTGCAGAGTTCCCCG